TGTAGACCTTTAGGGCTCACCCACACCTGCCCACCAAGGCACAGGTCAGTACTCAGAAGCTCCGTGTCTGGGCACACACACACCCCACTCCCTGTGGACACATGAGACAACTTTCCTCCCAAGTTCTGCTGGTACAAATTTGGGCAAAGCTAGCAATGCATCTAAATCCCCTTAATGAGCATGATGCGTTATCACCTGAAATATTCCTCACAGGCAGAATAATACTTTGCTCCCTCTCCTCCTGTGGTGCAGTTAGGAGGAAGAAGCTGTTGCTTTAATTTTCAGTAAATTGCAATTACCCAATATAGCTGAACTGAGAAATATGATTAGTGTTAACTGTGGTTAAGGGAGACAAGTACAGCTCGCCCTCCCCCCTTGCCATGCCAAGGATCACTCAAAGTTACATGGCACTAGGGAGCACAGCTCAACCACAGGGGAAAATCCCTGTCCCTGGGACTGAATGTTTTGGCAGAGAGCCCAGCTCCAAAACAAGCTGGAATGTTTGCAGAAGAGGGCAACCAAGATGATCAAGGGACTGGAAACCAAGCCATATGAGGAACGCTTGAGGGAGGTGGGTCTGTTTAGCCTGGAGGAGACTAAGAGGACACAGGATAGCCATCTCCAAATATCTAAGGGGCTGTCACATGGAAGATTAAACAAGCTTGTTTTCTGGTACTCCTTGGCAGTGGTGCCTGCTCTGTGGAGACCCTTCTATCAGATGTCAGAGATTAACAATTATATGACTTTCCGAAGACATCTGAAGGCAGCCCTGTATTGGGAAGTTTTTATTGTTTGATGTTTCACTGTGTTTTTTATATGATGATGGAAGCTATCTAGACTAGCTGGGGCAACCCAGTCATAGGGGTGAGGTATAAGTATTATTATTATTATTATTAGTTCAACAGTGGAACAGACACCCTCAAGAAGCGGTGGACTCCCCTTCCTTGGAGCGTCACAGGCTGCTTCGTGAGATTCCCGCATTGCAGAGAGTTGGACTAGATGACCCTTCGAACCCTACAAATTTACGATTCTATGAACTACGTTGTGCGTGTGTGACTATGTGGGGGGGGATACCTTGGGGGGTCTTGAACTAATAGGTTGTTGGCCTCCACCTTCTTTGGACACCCTTCCTGCCAGGCTTCCTCTGATCTTGTGACACCCCTGCGCCCATGTGAGAAGCGGCTTACTTCATAACCAGGATTCCTTTCCTCGTAGCGGCATCGACATCCACATTGTCCACGCCAGTCCCGGCTCTACCAATGACCTGCAGCTTCTCAGCAGCATTGATGACCTCTGCAGTCACTTTGGTGGCAGATCGCACAATGAGCCCATCGCAGTCCTAAAGAAATCACAGCAGGAGTGAGCAAAGGGCTGCCTGGAGAACCGGAAGCCAGCAGGGAGGCTGGCGGAGGAACAGGGCTTAAAAAATTGAAACCATTGGCCAAGGCAACAAATATTTTGCACCAATAGCCAAATTCTCTAAGGTGCATGAATGACGTATTACGGTATGCAAATTCAGAAATTTGAATGCCATGCTTTAATTTATGCAAACGTAGCTACTAGGGTGGGACTATTATCTGGGGATTTGACTCTGAAATGTCTGAAGGCCAAGGGAGGCAGGATTAGACCACGCTAGGTGCAGAACTGAGGTAAATAATGGCTCTTGATAGGTACATCTGTGGATATAATATGCCAGCAGTTCCTCAGCTCAGTCTCCAGCCACACAGCCCCTTGTGAGAGAGAGAATGGGAAGAGATGCACAGAAGTGTGACCAGGGTTGCGCTATGAGCAAAGAGTCAGCAAAAGTCAAGTTGGGCACTATGGCACCATGGGCACAAAATCTCCCAAAGAAGTCCCACCTTTAGGTAACAGTAGCAGGCCATCTGCTTCCAGTTCTGGGATCTCTCTCCTGCAGTAGACCTGGGGGAAGAAGCTGTTCTACCATGATGAGGTGAGGCCTGGCTTTGAGGGCTCCATGCCAAGCGGGTACCCCAGCATCTGTCCCCAAATGCAGCCGAGCTAAGGCAGAAAGTCAAAAGTGCAGCCAAAATATGGCCAGAAAAACCCAAAATTCCAGGTGCTCTGCAGTGACTGCCACGCAGGCTGCATGGGGTGGCTGGCCTCTGATGGCTGCCCAGATACTTCAGCAACTGGCTGCCTATCTACAGGGCTCAGCCAAGAGTCCATTGAACCAGGGTCTGTGCCCTCAGCCTGGCTCAAACAATTCAGGGTGCTGGCTTTGATTTTGAGAGGCTTTAACCCTCTGAACCCAAGGAAAAAGCCTCCTCCCTTGGGCCCCTTGACAGATCGTCAAGTTCACTCACAAGACCATCTGGGAGCTACTTTCAGCCACAAAGGATGGACACAATAGTGCCACATAAGGCTGCCCATTCCACAAGGGCAGAATCTTGCCATTCAGCTGGGGTGGCTTTCAGTGGCATGGAGTATAGACAGTGTGCACAGACACACACATGTACAAATGCACTGTTGTTTGGCTTTTGCAATTTATGTTGCAAAGAAGAACACTGTCACCCTCCTCACCAGAAAAAGCTGGAAAAGGGATGAGGAAGGTGTTTTCAGCCAATGTGGCTCAAGGCAGAGAGTGCTGAACGCTGACACATCAAGAGGAAAGTTAATCAAATTCTCTGCTATTAGTCTTTCAAATTCAGAGGTGTGCTGTAAAATCAGACAGGTGGAGGCAAGTTTCATTCCCGTTCCACAAGAACTGAGGCTAAACCAAGCAGATATTCTGCACCTTCGGCTGTTCTAAACAAGCACAAAAAACTGGGAGAGGCAGCATTTCTTTAGCGCCAGCCAGCCACATTTTAACAAAACAGCAGTTTTCCATGGTGGAATATTTTCCAGTGGTTCTCCCACAAAGCCCCTCCCTGTGAGAAATGGGAATGGGAGATTGTCTATAAATAAAGCTAAGGACCATGAAAGAGGAAAAGGCAGAGAAGCGATCAACCTGAAAACACTTTTGCCCTTCCCTAACATCTGTGGTAGGGCAACAGTGAAATATAAGGAACAAGGGGTGCAACCCTATGTGATGTTCTCCTCCAGTCCCACAGAAATGAAGGTGAGCTCCCCAAGGAAGGGGGCTTCCTGAATGAGTCCCCCCTGCATACTTTCACTTGCTCTAAATTGGTTGAGATCTGGTATATGTAGGCATCAAAACTTATAAATATCTCAAAATAGGAAAAGAAAATGAAGGCAATGAAAAATGCAAGCATCCTAATTTCAGCATGTCTGAAGAGTTGTGTGCATGTGCTTGGATAAACTACCCGAACAATTACAATTTTTACTTTAGAGTTGTTTTGCATTTTATCCATGATGTCAAAAACTTCACACACCAAGTTTTAACTGTTCGATATCAAAATGTCTCTGCATTTTCTTTTTCTTTTTTTAAATCATTTTTATTGATTTTACAAAATAAACTCACATTTACCACATTTAAATTTTAAAATAAAACAAGATTCTTCCAAATCTTAGGACTCCCCTCCTTCCCTCCGTGGATCCTTTATACAGTTGAACCTCGTGTTATGGATGGGATCCGTTCTGGAGGCCTGCCCATAACATGGAACTGACGCAAGCCGAAGTGCCACCATCTGCGCACACGCACGGCACCATTTAGCACTTCTGTGCATGCGCAAGCAGCAAAACCCAGAAGTAGCCCATTTCTGTACTTCCGGGTTGTCGTGGGACGCAACACGAAAACACGTAACCTGGACGCAACATGAGGTATGACTGTACAGTGGTACCTCGCGTTAAGAACTTAATTCGTTCTGGAGGTCCGTTCTTAACCTGAAACTGTTCTCAACCTGAAGCACCACTTTAGCTAATGGGGCCTCCTGCTGCTGCCACGCTGCCAGAGCACGATTTCTGTTCTCATCCTGAAGCAAAGTTCTTAACCCGAGGTACTATTTCTGGGTTAGCGGAGTCTGTAACCTGAAGCGTATGTAACCCGAGGTACCACTGTATATCTAAATCAACTGCACATTATACTTTTTCCACATTATGGTCCTCCAAAATATCCAAAGTCTTTGTAATGTTGCAAGAGTGACTAAAAGCTTGCCAAAGAGCTCTTTTAAGTGTAGTCTGTATTTGTCCCGTTCCCTGTTGAAGTTTTCTCCTCTTTCCACCGCTTTCCCCATTCTAAAGGTCTCTTCTCCCGTGTCTGAGTGAGCTGGTGGAGAGTTGTGGCAAGTGTGTGAGCAGCTCAGCCAGAGGGAAAGCAGGCCCACACCAGGAATGTTGAAGAAGAGATGGCTCAATGCCAACTCTTCCATTTCCTGGGGTTGCCAGCGCTTCTTCTGCCTTGCCCAAGGCATTCTTAGGGCCTGGTGCTCCCTGTCTCAGGCTTGGAAGAGGAACTAAAAAACCCAACCATTTTCAGAGTTATCAAAGTGCCTTGACGGCATGTGGGTCACTGCAGAACCTTGCTTTCTTCCAATACAGGTTTGCCATATGTTGAAGAGCAAAAAAGAGGACACATTTGCCGACTATGGATCACTAGGAGGATTCTCATTTTACATACCCATGAAAAGGAGGACGTGTCCTGCAAAAGGAGGGGCAACCCTGAGATGCTCACGTGATAAACTTCTTTCCAAACCCCTTGTCGCCCTTCTTTCCTCCGAGCCTTGCCCCTTCCAGCTCCGGGGATGCTCCGGGCTGCCCGGGGCCTGGGGGCTCTGCTTCCCGGGGCTGCCCTCGGACCTCCCCCCGCCGCGCTCGCCTCTGGCGGGGCTCACCCGGATCTCGGCCAGCAGCTCCTGGGGGCTGAGCCCGGCCTTCTCCGCCACGCCGACGCCGGCCTCGCGCAACAGCCGCGGGCACGACGGGTCCAGGCTGTCGCTGAGCAGCACCTTCCGCAGCGCGGCGCCCGACGCCATGGTCCGCTCGCCGCTCGCGCCGCCGGAGAAGGCGAGGCTCCGCCGCGCGCCCTAAAGACGCCTCTCGCCGCCGCCGCCGCCGCCGCCGCCCCATTGGAGCAGGCCGGCCCCGCCCCGCCGCGCCCCTCCGGCCAGGGGCTCGGCCTCCCTCGGCCCTCTTGGCGGCCGGCCGCCCCTCCTTCTTGGGTCGCTCCGGCTACTGACTGTCTGATAAATGGGGGGCTCCACCAAATCGCGCAGCACGAGCCGCGGGGTTCGCCCAAAGCGCAGCTTCCTGCAGCGGACATGCCGGGCTCCCTGCAACCCGCGCGCCACGTCGGGACTCCCCGCCGCTCCGGGCAGCTTGGCCAACGGTCGGGAATGATGGGAGTTGGAGTCCTGCAACACCTGGAGGGCTCGTGCCATAATTGGTAGCCCCTTCCTTGGTGTTCTGCTTAGAAATGCTGAACTCATATCTGATGTGCAACCAACTTGGCCACTTGGGCTGCAAGACGGGCGGAGAATTCCTGCTTAAATATATGGTACAAACTGAGCTTGGTAAGGTGCACTCAATTTAAAATGACTGATTGATAAGTCCCTTATGCAAGCAAACTATACTTTGCCTTCATCTGGGACCCAGGAAAAGTTGTCGGATTCTCTTCGCAACTCATGGCAGAAGAAGCTAATACTGCAGCCGCTTCTGCTCTGTCCTGCCTGCAGGCTAGATGTCTCATTTTTGGTGCTCGTCACCGTCGCTCCAGGGCTTGGGGGAAAGCAGGCAGTCTCCCCCTCCCGCAGTTCCAGGACCCCCGTTTCCCACTCCCACCCCAGCACCCCATTTTCCAGCTGCTTGTGCACATAGTGGCCATCCTTCAAAGCCCTCTTTGTCACCCCGACCCCACACCCATTCTTATTTTTTACTGTTGTGATTTGCAAAATTGCAACAAGATGTCATGGTTACTCCTGCCTCCTCAGCGCAGGCTTCCACAGCATGCTCAGTTTCTTGCTGCTCCAATATAAGCCAGAAGTGTTCATGCCTCGCAGAATTACCCTTTAGATTAGAAGATTTTAGGCTGTGCTATTTAGGGAGTGGTAGAAGAAGCAAGAGAAATCAGGACTTGCCTCCTCCTTGCAGCCTTGACTTGCCCTTACTCTGCCCATGTGGTCCAGTTGCCCCAAAATTAATAATAATAATAATAATAATAATAATAATAATAATAATAATAATTTACCCCATCCACTCTGGGCGGCTTCCAACAAAATATTAAAATACAATAATTCATCAAATATTAAAAGCTTCCCTATAAATTTATAGCTGCCTCACACAGTATAGGGTAGAAGCAGGCAAATGCTGGAATATTAAATGTGTGCTTCTACAATAACATGCAAAAGCCATCTTTGATATGAGCTCATATCTGGTTTATGCTCAGTAGAAATAAAAAGGGAGCCAAGCTTCGTTGGAGGGGAGGGCCACCTCATTGCACAAAGCCAATCGTTTAGCCTTTGATAAGAAATGTTGCATAACCTTTCAGTCACAGCGGTTAATCACCTCATCATGATCAATCCCTAAGATCAAGGTCAATTTCAATATCTCCAAGCTTGAGTTTCTGCTCTGGAAGTTAATCCTATAGAGAGACACGAATAATTCTCCTGAGGCCATTTTAGTCTTGCCCAGTGGCGTAGCGTGGGTTGTCAGCACCCGGGGCAAGGCAAGTAATTTGCGCCCCCTAACCCGTGGATTTGCGCCCCCTAACCCATGGATTTGCGCCCCCTAACCCATGGATTTGCCCTAACCCCAGATGTTGCGCCTGGTGCGGCCGGCCCCCCCTGCACCCCCCACGCTACGCCACTGGTCTTGCCCAAAAGCTGGCAGGGAGAGACTGCTTAAAACAGAGAAAGTCCCACGCTCCCCTGCATAACCAGGGAAGGGAACCTCCGGCATGAGGGCCAAATGTGGCCCATCAGGTCTCTCTGTGTGGCCCTTGGACCTCTTCGCAGGCCACACCCCTGGAGTGTTTTGGGGGGGGTAGAAGGGGTCCTGGTACCCTGACATGGCCTCTTGCTTCCTGCAGGGAGGAAAGAAAGAAATGTGTGTGGAGCAACTGGCCGCCTGTATCAAAGGAAACCTTTCTAGTCCTTGCTGGAGCCACTTTTGTCTCTGCCCAGCCCTGCGCACCGTGGGAAGTTTGCCCAGATGGGAACAGAGCCCTTGGACTGAAAAAGCCTCCCCATCCCCACCCCAAAAATGATTAAGGAAGGCAGTAATGAGCAATGGATTCCTGCTGTCCATCACACACGGTCGCCCCTTTCTCACGTCTCATGGGTTGGCCCCAGACAAGCCTCCCAGGCCAGAGAGTCCCTGGTAGTCCGTGTTGCCTGTCCAGAAGCCCAGGTCCCTAAGGCAGAAGTGCCTGGGAAGAAACGGTTGGTGCTGAGCCTGAAAAGCTAGCTGCCCCCATGCTAAGTGGGTGAACTGGCGGACTTTAGTGGAGAAGGAAACTTACTGTTGTGGCTCCCACTTGATGGAGAACTCAAACTCAGATCCGGGTTTCTACCCAAATCATTAATGCTCAGATGGATGCAAGACATGCGCAAGACGCAGCTCAAAGGCTGCACAAGGAAAAGCATTGCTGCTCATTTGACCAAAGCTGGTAGGTGTTGATAGTTAGCAGACCGGGCAACAGGCAGCCTTATCTTTCTAGCTTACAGGATGGCAGCTTATCTATTATAAGTAATACACAGGTATTTACTATAAGTTTTGAGAAAGCCACGTTGATTCATGCAGTCTTCTATAAAAGGAATTTTAAAAATCTTTTTGTACAATTGTGCAAGATCTGTAATAAAAACAAATGGTGACTGTGTAATGCTGTGAGTCGAGCATATATGTTTGCCCAGCTTCCATCAAGAGAATTCATCTCTCCTGGTCTCTCCAGCTGATACTTCAGCTTCAGCATAAAGCGCCCAGTAGTCTCATCATGTTCCTGAGGGGCAGAGAAAGGGATTCAAATCAGTCCTGAGCCTCTTACTGTTTCTTCTTTTTCCAAGGCTCCAAGTCTGTGTACACATTGCTGACTTAAGTAATCTCAGTTCAGATTGAAGTTGGTTTGCGGGAAACACATCAAAATGCAGTATTTCATAAGAAATGACAGGATAGATGGGGATTTCAGCCCAAGAGTCTCCTGCAATATTGGAGAGGTTGGGGGGACAGCAAGAGTCAGTAAGTGGGGATTTCCTGCTGCTGGGAAGCTCTTGGCTTGTCTCTTCTTGCTGCTGTTTCACCAAAGCTCAATGCTGCAGGGCTTCCTCTTGATCTCAGACTTGGACCCATTTATTCTTTCCCATAGAGACTCCTGTTCTATTTTCTGTGATAGATTTGCTGGCGGACGACAGCATGTACCATGTTGGGAGCTGAACTGAAGAATGAAGTCCTGTGAAAGTGTCGCCTGAGTGGTTATGGGGGCACGTCAGTTGAATACAATAAGCTTAGGCACATCTAACTTGTACACATTCAGTTTTACATGCCTGGCAAAAGAATTAAACAGAGGACAAGCATCCGGGGGAAAAAGACTTTGGCCTGCCTATGTGCCCTTGAGCCCAATGTGTGTTTTGACTACTGTATATGCAGTTTTGACTTTAGGTGTGATTCCCTAGAACGTGACCCCCCCCCATCAGTTGTGGGCTCATTGTGCTGCAACTGCAGAGCCCGAGTTCTGCCAGATTCTCAGAGGAAGGGAGATGAAAGACTGGTACAATAAGACCCAGAGGCATTGAGAGCATTGCAGCAGATGCAAAGCATATAAACAAGGAACGACATTTTGCATGGGCAGGAGTAGCAGTGCTGCTCACTGAGTTTCAAAGCATTCAGCCTAAAGAGAAGTAACTGCCAGTGCAGGCCCTGGGAAAGTGAGGGCTCTCCGCCTTTTTAGAAATGCTGTGTAAGGGCAATCTGGCATGTTCTGTTCCTCGGGGGAAGGATCACTGCTGCTCTGCAAACATTGGCAGCTGCTCCAGATGAACGTGATGACGACAGAGTCAGGAGAAAGTCCAAGGTAACTGCAAACAGACAGTGGGACAAAGCTCAGCCTCAAACAAGCATGTTTTCATCTGGCTTCAGTTCTTCACACACACACACACACACACACACACACACAGGCCAGAGGGTCCAGTTTCCTGCCAATTTACCCAGTGGGTTATTCTGCCACAGGCAGGTTCCCATGCCGTCTCCCCAATGAAATCAATGGAGGCTGTAGTATAGGTGAGGGAGTACAGGGCTGTTGAAGAACATCTGTCACTCACTCTCTGTCATAGAGAAGCCATTAATGTTAACTAAGTAGGTTATGCAGTAGCTTGGCTGGTTTTCTCATAAAAACGTTCTCTTCTCAACTCTAGCAGACTCCTCATGGGGTGATCAGGCAGAACATTGAGTAGCTTCTGAAATCTTTGAGCTTCTCACCACTTCCGAGGGCCATGGCACTCCAGAAAATATCCATGGTTTCCACCTCCCATTTGGGTTTTTTCAGTGCCCCAGTGCTGCACTAGGATGGGGGGGGGAGATTGTTTTTCTGTACAACTGCTGCAGGTTAAAGAAAATCTCAAACTATATTGATCCTTGTCTTAAAAATATTTTTTAAAAGTTTCCGGGCCAAAAAGGAGTGCTGGAGAAAGGGTGCTAGGGGAGGACCCCTGGAGCGCAGGCCCACCGTTACCCACAACGGAGGAGAGCCGGGGGGGGGGCTCTCTGCTGAAGATCCTCCCAATCCAGAGCCTACCCTCTCACTCCCAGGATTTTTATCACCCCTCCTGAAAACTTTGCTAGCCTGTGTCATTCTGTACTAGCAGAAGACTCAAAGGCAGCCCCATAGAGTCCATCCATAATCATTCCTTCTGATTGTTTTTTAATGCTTTACTGTGTTTGTATCTTTTATGTTGTAAGCCTCCTTGACTGTATTCTATACATAAAGTTGAGATATCAATTAATAAATTAAACCTTGACATGAAAGAGAATATTTGAAACAGGGTAGTAACTACTCAACCCAAAGGGACAGAGACAGACAGACAGACAGACAGACAGAAGGAGAGAAAGTTGGAAAATGGTCTCCTTTGCCTCTAACATCTAATTGGGTTGTGCATGTCCTTCAGTAGATGTCGTGGTTTGCCAGGAATTTTCTATGTGACAAATATTGTTAGCCAGGGAACAAAAATATTATTATGTGTCTGAATCTAAAATGTTTATTAATCTTATTACAAAGTTTTTAATGATAAAATAATAGCCCAATTCTGAACATGTCTGCTTACATAACAGAGTCAGCCGCTAGGTGGCAGTAAAGGTTTAGTAGGAGAAGCAGTTCAACATCCGAGATGAAGAGGGATTTGCTGTCCTCCTTCGAGAGACAATGGGGACAAGGGAGCCGTTCCGGGGTGTGGCTGCTGTGGCTGCAGACGCTTCTAGGAGCTGCGTGCAGAATGGGGATCCAAGGTGGGCAAACTGTTGCAGAAGGAGCACAAGGTGTCCCCACCAGAGGCCCTAGCCCTCCGCTATCTCCCCATATACACCCCAGATAAGGCTTTAACATCTCCACCCGAACAGATCCATGGACGAAAGTAGGTTGCAGAATACCTAGTACAGGGGTAGGCAACCTAAGGCCCGTGGGCCGGATGCGGCTGAATCACCTTCTCAATCTGGCCCAGGGAGGGTCCGGGAACCAGCGTGTTTTTACATGAGTAGAATGTGTCCTTTTATTTAAAATGCATCTCTGGGTTATTTGTGGGGCATAGGAATTCGTTCATTCCCCCCCCCCAAAAAAATATAGTCTGGCCCACCACATGGTCTGAGAGACAGTGGACCGGCCCATGTCTGAAAAATGTTGCTGACCCCTGACCTAGTGGTTGGGACTGAAGGCAACAAAGCTACCTCTTCACTGCCCATGCCTTCCAGGAGGATCTCCCCATTTTGTCTGCAGACGGTGGAATTCCCAGTTCCAGTCCCCAGCATCGCCTACTAAATAATCCCAGGCTATACTGGGATAGGTTTAGAATGCTCAGAAGAGTCACATGTAGGAATGTGGCGTGAGAATCCAAGACACTGCGATGCGAAGAAAAGGACCACAATCTACTGAGCCACATCTCCCAGGCTCCTCTGTCTTCTCCCATGCCTCCAGGGCCTGCCCACTCCACTTTGCCACCTGAAGTGAAACAGGAATGTGCCCCCTGCCCCCCCTTGCTGAAACTTGGCAAAAGGAGAGCAAGCCATTTCACTTATCTTCTCACAACAATGCTGCATGGGGGGGGGGTTCTAGTGGGGCAGCCAGGGGACACCTGGCTGACTAGCAGTATATGTGAAAAGGACCTTGGGGTCTTGGTGGACTACAAGCTGAACATGAGTCCATTGTGTGATGAAGCAGCAAAAAAAGCAAATGCTCTTCTAGGCTGCATCAACAGAAATCAAGTGTCCAGATCAAGGGAAGTAATAGTACCACTCGATTCTGCCTTGGTCAGACCACACCTGGAATACTGTCTTCAGTTCTGGACACCACAATTTAAGAAGGCTGTTACATGGGTGTAGCCAGGATTTATGTTGGGAGGGGGCAGAACCGAGTTATCTGTGACACAATTGTTCAGTTAATGCAGTATTTTTATTTATTTACTTGATGAGGGGCAGCTGCCCCCCCCCCCCCACTTACACCCATGGATGTTGACAAGCTGGAACGTATGTAGAGACGGGCGACCAAGATGATCAAGCCTGATGAGTAACGGTTGAAGGAGCTGGACATGCTCAGCCTGGAGGAGACTGAGAGGAGATAGGAGAGCCACCTTCCAATATCGTATCTGAAGGGCTGTCACATGGAAGAGGGAGCATGCTTGTTTTCTCCTTCTCTGGTGCGTAGGACTTGAACCCGTGGCTTCAAGTTACAAGAAAGGAGACTCCGACTCAACACCAGGAAGAACTTTTTGTCTGTAAGGGTGTTTAACAGTGGGATGGAAGGTGGTGGACTCCCCTTCCTCCAAGCAGAGGTTGGATGGCCCCCGTCAGGGTCGCTTTAGCTGAGATTCCGGCATCGTGGGGGGTTGGACTAGATGACCCTTGGATCCCTTCCAATTCTACCATTCTCTGATGCCATGATTCTCCTACAGACAAATGTGCTGGCAAGCTTCTATACTGCAGATGTAAAATGGTTATTTTTTACTTCTCAGGTGGGAAATCGTATTAAATGTACCAAAAACCAAAACCATAAATGTGTTTTGTTTGTTTGTTGTATTTCCATGCCCTCACGTGGCTGCTGCAAAACCTTGTGTGCTGGCCCAGGAAACTCCTTTCTGGAGGCGCCCCGGGACGGAGGCAGCGCAAGGCGCTTCGCATCCCGCCGACCTGCCAAACGCCCGGCTCCTCTTCTGCGGCTGCTCCGAAGGTTTCCTCCGTCTCTCGCAAGAGATGCGCTCCTTTTCGCGGTCCTCCTTGCGGCAGCCCCTTCCTTCCGCCGAGACGGCGCCGCGGCTGCGCGCGGGTCAGCTGGAGGCGGCTCCGGGAGCGCGCGGCTCGGCGACGGCATCCCGGAGGGAGCAGGTACGCGCCGTCGCGGGGAGGCGGCTCGGGGTCGCGGCGCGCCGGAGGGTGCCCGGCCGCGGAGGGAAGGCGGCGGCGGCCTGGGGGCGCCCCGGGCCTGGGGCGGCGCAGCTCCAGCGCGCAGCGGGCCAGACAGCGCTGCCCCGGGGGCCGGGGGCCCTGCTCAAGGGCAGAGGGCGCCCCGGGGAGGAAGCGGGCGGCCTTGGGCAGCCTCGGCCTGGCGCCGCCCGGAGGGTCGTGTGGTACAATGGTCATTGCCAGCGGCATCCCCCCCCCCCGCCGCCGCGCGCGAGGGGGATCCCGAGAGGGGCGCGCGGGGATGGTGGCCTCTTACCCCGCTCGGCCTCTTCCCGGGCGGCGGCGGCGGCGGCGGCGTGTGAACCTGAAAGAAAATCCCAGGAAGCGCCCAAGCTGGTAGCCGGCTTCATGACCACGTTTCACAGGCACAGCCAGATGGTTGCTGGTTTGGGGTGGAATTCACCCACATCCCGGCACAGTGGAAGTTGACTGTAGGCTCTTATACAACAAACCCCCTTCCCCTCAAAATCAGGCTTTTTGCAGTAAGGAGATGGAGGAGAAAATGCCCTGGAAAGTGCGGGGTAATAGTTGCTCAAGGCAGGATCTGACCTCCCTGCAAACAAATCAGAATGTTGTTGGCATCCTGGAGAGACAAGGGAGTGCGACCTCCCTGGGGTGCAGGCCTGGGGACAGTGTCTGGAGGTCCTGGGCTGCCCGGATGGCAAACCCCCTCTCTCAGCCTCGCTGATGGGGCCCAAAGGAAAGCGGAGCAAGATGTTTGGCACCAGGTGGACTGCAGGGGTTGCTGGAAGGAGGCGTACAGGGAGCCAGCTAACCGTCTTAGGGCCTCCGCTCCAGTTTTGTGTAGGGTTGACCCCTGAGCGTTTTTCTCCTGGAGATGTCCTGCAAGGCAGCAAAGGTTTAAGGTCAGAGTGTTCTTTCTCCTAGATGGGCTCCCTTCCCAGGTTGACAAGCCCCATCTGCTCCTCACTTCCCTCTACAGCATGTGCAGAAACCACCTTCTTGACTGTTGGGTCCTCTCTTAGCCTTCATGGAAATCCCTAACTCACCAAGGGTTTCAGACCCCTCAACTCCCCTCAACTGCTTCAGCTGGCCAGTCAATGCCGTTTCCTGGGGTATGTCCGCTGTCTCGTGCCGACAGCTTCTAGGAACCACAGGTGAGAGTTGAGTGCTGGGTGGGCACCAAAGGTGGACAAACTCTCTGCAGACTTTGTGCAAACAAATCAGGCCAGTGCTTGGAGGCATTGATGTCCTGGATGTGGGCAATATGTTGAAGCTGAATCCTGAAAAGATGGAGGTCTTTAGTGTCCCAGGAAGTGGAGAGACATCCGGTCATGGACAGGGTTGCACTCCCTTGGATGGAACAGATTCGCAGCTTGGGGATGTTGCTGGATTCAGCTGGTGGCCTTGGTGACTAGGAGGGCCTTTTTCGAGCTCTGACTGCTTCACCATCTCTCGGCCCTTTTAGAAAGACGTGGCTGTGGTGACACCATGCTCTGGTAACTTCCAGAATAGATTGTTGCAATGCTCTATACAAGACAGGAGAGTCCAACTGAACATCCGGAAGAGCTTTCTGGTGGTCCTGTTTAGAGGTTGTGGGCTCTCCTGTAGTTGCGATGCCTGCATCACAGAGGGTTGGACCAGCTGAGCTGCTTGGGATCCCCTCCCACACTACAATTCTATGATTCTATGACTCCTTTCCCCTTATACCCCACCTTTCCTCCAAAGTGCTCAAGGTGGCCCTCCTGGTTTCCCATTTCCCATGTTATCCTCACAATGACCCTGTGAGGTAGGTGAGGCTGAGAGACAATGACTGGCCAAAGGCCTCACTTGAGGGCCAAGCCGTGGCTTTTACCCTGTTCTCCCAGATCCAATAAATGTCCCACAATGTTACTCCATATTCTGGAAAGTAGGTCTAGAAGTGAAGAAGCAGGAGGGCCTTTTCTCATCGCTCTGGACGTTTATGGCGACCCTTGTTAACAGTTCTGGGTGGCAACTTTCCCCTTTCCACCACCCCTGCCTATATGACCTCCTAGTTGCCCTACCAGGTCCAGCATCCACCAGCTGCCGCTGTTATTTCCCCTTTTAAGCCAGAAGGGAGCCTGGTAGCGGAGCTCTTTTCAGGAAGGAAAGGGTTAAGCAACCCCGCCCTCATGGTCCCTCCACCCCGAATTTCAGCCTGTGCTGCTAATTCTCAGGGAGACTGATTCACTTATCTTCTCCCATGGAGCAGCTATTTTGTGCCCCCCAGTCACTTTCTGAGGATGCAACTTCACTAATGGTCTTCTGCCCTTTGAAATCTCACTTAGCCTGTAATGCTTCTGAGGTTCAGGGCGGGACCACAGGAGCCATAAATGCAGCTGAGACTGAGAAGAGCCCCTTCCCCAGAGCCCAGAGGAGCAGCTGTCTCTCTGCAGAGGACAAGAGGGCAGGGAAAGAGCAGTGGCAGGCCTCATCCAATATTTTCTAAAAGGATCCTCTCCACACTGGGGCTCTTGGCAGCAGTCTTTAAAGCTGAATCTAGCGGGAGCTGAATAATTCAGCCTGCTCACCCAGGGCTTTCTGTGATGTTAAAGTGGTCAAAAGCCCCTTGGCCAGTCAGTGCCCAGCCGTTTGGGCTTAGATAAAGCAGGAAGAGCCTTTTTCTTATTTTCCTCAGCCTGACCCAAGGAGCTGCCTGCTGCTTTTTCCACCTCCGCCTGCCTGGGCTCCCCCTCCATGGGGCTGCTGACTTCACGGTGCCAGGCAGTCGCTGGGGAGGCTCAGCCTCTGGATTCTGCAGGCAGCACTTCCTTCCCTTCCAGGCTGCATGCCTGTGTGTGTTGCTGAAGGGGGCAGTTGTTGCTTCAGGCTTCCCTCCCGCTTAGTTTCTTGCAAGAAGAAAGTCCTGTGCAAAGGGAGGGCCTCACGGTGAGCCAGGCAGGTCTGGCGGGAAGCCCTTTCTTCATGTCTTCTTCCTGGCTCATCACCAGTCCATGACCTGAGCCAAAGGGGGCTGGCAGAAGGGGTAAGTAGGGCTTTCCCCATTTGTGATAATAGACATTGGTGTGCTTTGTGGGCTTCTTCCTGCTTGTGCCTTTAAGGGTTCCCTGCAGTGAGTGGGCATCTCTTACTGGGTTGCACAACTCTCTTCCCTTGTGGCCTGAGCTGCTGGTGCTGTGACTCTTAATGCCCAACAGTCACAGAAGAGCATCTGCAGAAGAGGCTGCCTTGGGACAGCTGGCTTGTACTCTTCTTTGCCCTGGCGCAGCCCATCCCTCGGAAAGGCTGCATTTCAAGCCCCCTGGAACAGCGGCAGGGATCATCCAGGGAGGGCTTGCACCCCAGAGAGGAGGCGTTGGGCTGGGCTCTGCTGGAGAAGGGCCCCATTTGCTGGGGGATGAGGAGGCGTCAGAGGCGTCCTTTGAACCAAGTGAAGGAACCCAGCTGGAGGCAAGGCTTTTCTTCCAGGGGTGCTTTTCCCATTTCTTCAGGGAGAAAGATTCACCAGCCCCACCCAGAGTGAAACTCCCTCCTCACAGTGAAGGCACAGAATGAAAAAGCTTATTTGTGACCCCCCAAAAAAACCTTCACCTGTGAAGCAGGGGCCCATTCAGTGACCCCCAAGGACAGGAAGGCGGCTTGGATGCCGCTTAGCACTCTCAGCTGCTCTAATTTTTGTTTTCTGTGCTTACCCATTGTTTTTAGTGTATATATTGTTGTGAGCTGTCTTGTAGACATTTAAGTGGAAAGTAGTTGGAAATGCTAAAATAATAATTAGATACTGTTCATATGGCAGGCAGGATTTTATCAAGTAAACTGTAAAGGATGTTCATTTTATTATGTGCCATAAGCTTTAAATCCTTCTTGGCAACTTTTTTTGCTGAACTGTTTAGCTTCCATGCTATATTTATGTATTTGATTCTCATCTATAAGTAATAAATCAGTCCTGTTCTTTTTCAGTTTAATTTAATCTTATCTTATTGTCATTCCAATTCTTCATTCTATGATAAATATGTTGTTGTTTTTTGCCTGTCAACTCCATCCCCATGCTTATTTTATAATAACTTATAATAATAACTTATAATAACTTATAATAATGTATTGGCTCCTCCTTCATTAAAGTGATTCATTCATGAAAACATGGAATGGCATCAAAATTGGGACTGACCCAGTAAAGTCTGATGGGGTTATATTTGGGGCCGGGGGGAGGGCATTGGTTACAGTTCTCAGGTGCAAAGGAGAAGAAGATCTGGGCATAGGCGCCGACTCCATGGGGCCTGAGGGGGCCCGAGCCCCCTCAAAAATTCGTTTGGGGGGCTCTGCCCCCCCAATAATCTCGGGCGCCCCTCCAGCAGAGCGCCGCCGCCGGGCGACTCCGGCCCTCTGGTTCAGGTTGCCATGTGGCTGCGTGCACGTGTTTCGTCTGCGTTTAGGGGTCTCCCCTTCGGGTTCGTCCGCCGGCGCGCGAGGGCCGCCGCGTCTGGCTCAAACCCTCCACCAGCAAATCGCCCTCTCTGGTAAACAGGATCCCATTGGCTGCGGCGCGTCTTTCGGGGTGGGTGCAAGGCGTTTGCCGCGGGCGGATTGGCGACGACCCTTTCCCTTTAAATCAAGTAATCGCAGCCCGGCAGCGGTTTGCATCTCGGCCCAGCCTTTTCGCGCGTTGCAAACCGGATAAGCCAAGTCGTGGGCGGTGGGGGACAATTTACAAGGCATTTGTGTGGTTTCTCTTTAAATCGCCCTATCTGCGCTTGAAACCAACCGAAGAGGTGTTTCTGTTTCTTTTTCTTCTTTTTTTTTTTGCAAGAAGAGAACAGCTGGGTATCTGGTTCCATAAGGTGATGGTGAATATCGGTTCCCCCTTTTACAGATGAGGGGAAACATGAGTTTTCTTAAAGTCGACAGAAAGTTAGGTGCATCCTGTTCCTATTTAAATCAGCAGATGATTTTTTTGGTGGGTTGCGTAGGTGTTTTGACCCCCGCCTCCTCCCCACCTGCTCCCTCGCCAGCCAGCCAGCCAGCCGCGCGCCCTAGCCGGAGAGCCCCGGCCGTCCCCGTCGCGCAATCGGCTGGATCTCCCTTCAGCAGGCCGTGCTCACAACTCGGCCCAGGGACCCCCCAGCAGCGGATCTCCGGCCCAGCTGAAGAATCCGGCAACAAGCCCCCTCCTCCCCAATCGCTCCGGCTCCGCCAAAATACGCTCCAAAACCCCCCAGATAGGCCGCCGGCCGCCAAGTCTCGTGGCGCCCTGAGCGAGGGTCTCTCCCCAACACCGCCACCTCGAACTGCGTTCTCCCGGCTACCCGAGCGAACCAGCGGCAGCTTCCCGGGCGCTCTTCCCGACTCTGCCTCCGAAGAAGAAGAAGAAACAGCCCCCGCCGAGGTGCATCCCAAAAGTTGGACGACGACGCGTCCCGGTATGGGCCCCCCCCCAATATTTTTTATAAGTCAGCGCCCCTGGATCTGGGCCTTGTGCTTAGAACAGTTATATAAAAGAGGGGTTTGGGACAGGTGTATGACAAGCCACACCATCCCAAATTCCCTCTTCTACAACTGGTAAGAACCTCTTTATTGTTTATGTCTGGTTATCCTGTAGGTTATTTGTATTTCTTCTGTGTGGTTTTTCAAAAGTGTCACATTTTCTCCAGGATGCTTGCAGGTTTTTCAAAACAATGATAAAAGAAACTTAGCTGCAGTATATATCAAAGATTGGGGGGATGTCAGTGTACTTAATAAGAAGAGTCAAGGAAGCTGTTTGCAGCCCCTGTAAAAGGTCTTTCAGAAAATGGAAGTATTGTCCAAATAAAGAGAACAAAAAGGAGTACAAACTTTGCTCCCCCCAAAGTTGAAAATAAGGGGTGCATTTTAAAATATATATATTAAGTATATAGAACAAACCTTTGCTGAAGAAGAATCAGCATGGCTTCTGCAAAAGTAGCTTCTGCCTCAGTACTCCGATTACGGTATATTAATAAGAGTTCTTTGATTATATTAACAAGCACATGATTAAGGATGGCCTGGTAGACATTACACACTTGAGATTCCAAAGAAGCCGGGAGCAAGATCCCTCACTGGTGGCTCCTGAGTCAACTTGGCAGTTGCAGGATCAGTGTTCAAGTCCTCCTGTGGTCCTAGAGCAGGTTAAATAGAGGAAGTAGAAGGTAGGAATAAACAGGCAATTTTCCCAAAGAAGGGAAGTGGCCAGAGGGTCATGGGAGGCCTCTGATGTGGGAGGTCCTGTTGCCCATTCCGGGGAATGTGCTTGCGCCTTATATGTAAGAAGGGAATACAGGATGTGAGCTGGGAAGGGTGATGTCATTCTGGCACTCTGCCGTTGGTGTCTTCCATAGAAGGCTAATGGAGGCTTGGTTGGTCTTTGCTACACTTGCTTTGGTTTCTGCAGCGATTGAGGTGATGGCTCTGCCACGAGTTGGCCATAGGACGGCATCTGTGTGGTGCTGATCTTAGTCCTGACATAATGGCTTGTAGCAGAAGGATAGAATTGGTCTTCCTGATACGTGGAAAAGAGGGCAGCTCTGCACAAGAATTTCAGAGGATGTGAGAAAGATAAAAAGGAAAGCCTCTTTGTACAAAATAAAGCCCTCAATGATTCTTCATTTTCCTATTACCTCTGTGCTTTCCTGTAACATCTAATATTTTTAAAGTATTGAAATACAAAATACGCATAATTCCAGATTCTGCAGCAGAACAAAATAAAATTAGTTACAGGTAGGTAACTGTGTTGGTTTGTCATAGTCAAAACAAAGTAAAAAAAAATCCTTCCAGTAGCACCTTAAAGGTAAAGGTAAAGGTAAAGGGACCCCTGACCGTTAGGTCCAGTCATGGCCGACTCTGAGGTTGCAGTGCTCATCTAGCTTTATTGGCCAAGGGAGCCAGCGTACAGCTTCCGGGTCATGTGGCCAGCATGACTCTGGCGAACCAGAGCAGCACACGGAAATGCCATTTTCCTTTCTGTCGGAGTGGTACCTATTTATCTACTTGCACTTTGACGTGCTTTCGAATTGCTAGGTTGGCAGGTATCTGAAGAAGTGTGCATGCACACGAAAGCTCATACCAATAACAAACTTAGTTGGTCTCTAAGGTGCTACTGGAAGGAATTTTTTAATTTTGTTTCAAAATAAAATTGTGAAACTGCATAAGTCAACATTTCCCTATTTGTGTAATGTATCACAGTTGCAGTGGGTGTGTTTTATGGAACTATCCCATAACAGTCAGCCTTCCTGACTTCTTTGCTCATGCCAACTCCGTAGTTTAATTTCCTCTGCAAGAAGGAGTCCTTCTGCCCTCCGTCACCTTACGATAAGGGAAGCCTGGCCATTGGGTTGCACAGAGTCATCTAGAAAAGGGCGAAGTATTCAGATCATGGTTTAAGGGCTTCTCCCTGCCCTGCTTCACAAGATATGTCCCTATTGATTGCAACCCGACCTCATTGGAGCATCTCTCCCCAGGGATGACTGCATTTCTCCTGCTTCCTTGGCAGCTCACTGCTCTTCTGTGAAAAGCAGGGAATTTGAGCATCTAATGGAGCTAAATTGATTCTGCAGAAGGTGCCATCCTGACTTTCTCAGCTGGCTGCTGACCTTTTGGCAGCTGAAATATACTCGGAGTCGAGAGCGGATTTCATGCTCTTTATTCAGCTCATAGTGGTGAGGAGGAATGCAGTTTCCCCCAGAATGTCTGCTTTATATACATTATTTACACAATGGGCCCCACGTGATTGGCTAATTCCGGGATTCTCCTGTAGGCCAATCAGGTTGCAGATTAACTTCCACCTGGAGCTGGATTGGGTGGCTCCTGTGGACCAATCAGACTGCTGCATTCTGGATCCTATTGTTCTAGGACCAATCAGACTGCTGCATTTTGTATCCTATTGAACTCCTCCCCTCTAAGTTCCAGTCCTGCCCAGGAGGTTGCATTCATAGTCCTCAAGGTACGCCGGCTGCCTACGTGTGTGTTGCGGCCTGGGGTGTTCCCTGGTCAGGGGTTTGGGTTCTGGCTTTTTTTCCCAGGATGCTGGCTGCAGTGGGGCCGTTTGGTCTGGCGCAACCGGCTCGCTCAGTCGTGGCTCTGGTTCCGGTGTCCTTTCGGCCTCGCGGGTCCTCTCTGTATTTACTGATTCTGCCTCCCCTGCTGGCCCTTCCTGTTCTACGGGCCTCACTGCCCCACTGTTTCCTTGGGACTCCTCTGACCTGTCCTCCTCCTGGTTTTCTCCCTGGAATCGTTGCTGTAGCTGGTCGCAGTGGCAGTGGCAACATGGCCCCTCTCTCCGTTAGCACCTCGTACGACACGGGGCCAGTGACCCATTCCGGGCCTGCCCCCAAATTCTTTGTTTACGCTGGGTCCTGGGCCATGAAAGTCCGGGGGTTCCTGCCTTCCCCCACCACTACCTCATCCTGAGCTCTGTTGGGGTGAAGACGGTTCAGTCTGATTGCAAGGCGCCAGCCCATTAATAGTTCAGCGGGGCTCTGGCCAGTCGTTGAGCTGTGGGTGCTGTCCTGTGCTAGAAGGAATGTGGCAATGTGGTATTCCCAATCCCCTTGCGTCATGCAGCGGAGGGTGTCCTTGGTGGTCCACACCATGCACTCTGCTTGGCCATTGGTGGCAGGGTGGCATGGCACCGAGCGGATTTGGCGGATGGCATTCTGCGCTGTGAAGGTCTGCAATTCTCCTGACATAAATGCGGTTCTGTTGTCTGAGACGATAGTGTCAGGGAGCCCATGGGTTGCAAACAGCCTGCGTAGTACCCAGATGGCTGTGGACATAAAAGTGGATGGTACCAGTGCGACTTCCAGCCATTTGGTGTAGGAGTCCACCACTATGAAGACTGTTTTCCCCTGAAAGGGGCCAGCGAAGTCCACATGCAGGCGTGACCATGGTGCTCAGGCGGACAGCCAGGACTGGACTGGGGCCCTTGGGGGATCTGGGTGGGATTCTTGGCAGGCCTGACAGTGTTTGACCCCGGCCTCTATCTCTCTGTCAATCCCCGGCCACCACACATAACTCCTGGAGAGGGCCTTCATTCTTACTACCCCTGGGTGTGTCTCGTGTAGGGCTGTGAGGACCCTTTTGCAGAGGGGATGGGGAACGACAATCCTGCTTCCCCATAACAGGCACCTCTTGTGGGCTGACATGTTTATGGGTTGTGTAGCCTGCGAATTCTGGCCCGGGGCTGCTGCTGGGCCATCCCCTCTACACCTAGTCCAGGACCCGGGAGATGACCTTATCTTTCTTGGAATGGTGTGCAACTTCTTGTGCCTGAATGGGGCGGTCGGGAAGCAGATCCAGGCTCATAACCTCTTGCGCGGGTGCTGGGTTGGGGCCTGTTTACGGTAGTGGTAGCCTGCTGAGGGCGTTCGTGTGGCCTATCGCCTTCCCAGGGCGGTGAATCAGTGCATACTGGTAGCTGGCAAGGAAAATTGACCACCTGAGGACGCGAGGAGACAGCACTTGGGGGGGTCTGCTTTTCGGGGGCAAACAAACCAAGCAACAGCTTGTGGTCAGTCACCACGGTAAGGGGCTGCCCATACAAGAAATCATGGAATTTTTTTACTCCCTTCACGATTGCCAGACCCTCATTGTCGATTTGCGAGTAGTTCCGCTCGGCTGCGGCGAGTGTCTGGGAAAAGTATGCTACCGGCACCTCTCTTCCATCCAGGAGCTTTGTGGGGACCTTACGTTTCTGGAAGTCCCGGAGGGTGAATGGGGCCGGCCTGAGTTTGGGACCCCCAGTAGGGCACAGTTTTCTTAAGGTCCTTGCCAAGATTATGGATAGAGTTGATCCCGTGTCAAGCTCCATGCGGCACTGGGCCCCCTCTATCTGTACCTCTACATGAATTTTCTCTATGTTGGGGTGGGGCAACTGGTATACCTGGCAGTCCGTGATCTCTGTGAGTTGCCTTGGTGTGTTGGGCCCTGGGCCCTGGACTCTTGGATCGATCATCCGATGCCTGGTGTCGGGTGGGCCGAGCCCGACACACCTGGGCAATGTGTCCCAGTTTTCTGCACTGCCTGCACTCTGAGTTGCGGAAACGGCAGGTCCTCCTCTCGTGACTCTCCCCGCAGCTTGCACAGTTCCCTCCTTCTCGTTGAGGCAGCTGTGGTCTGTGCGCTGCTTGAGTGCGCCGCAGAACTTGGTGCACCTCCTCCCTGTTGGATCCTGAGTCGTCGGCGAAGTTTTTGTGGTGGACCCTCGATTGGGGTGGCAGGCTCGGCTGTGCCTCTTGCGTCGTCCTCTCGGCAGCTTCAGTTGCCAGGGCCTCCTCCAGAGCAACCTGGAACGTTAGGTGCTTCTTGGCGTAGAGGCATCGTTGCAGCTTCTCATCCTTCAGGCCACCGATGAGGCAGTCATGAAGCATGTTCTCCAACTCTGTGAAGTTGCAGAACTGGGCAGCTTGGCGGAGGGAGGTCACAAACCCAGTTATGGTTTCCCAGGGGCTTGCCGCTTTGTGTAGAAGGCATTTCAACAAGCCACCACCGAGGGCTGTGGCGAGAAGTGCCCCTTCAGCCGTTCCATTATTGTTTTGTAAGGAACAGTAGCGACATCTTCAGGCACAAGGAGAGCCCAGGCGATTTTGAATGTCTCCTCTCCTCAGACGCTTAAGAATATCACCCTCTTTTTGGCATCTTCTTCAGTGGTGACCCCTTTGGCTTCTAGGAGGAAGGTGAAACGGGAGGCGTACGCTTCCCAGTCTCCGGATGCTGGGTTGAACAGCGAGAAGCTGCTGTCGGTTGCCATGCTGAATTCCTTGGGGCCCAGAGCTGAAGCCTGGATACACGGTGCGAGGCAGCGATGCGGCAGGTGGCGGTGCTGCAGTGCTGTGTGTGGCGGTCAGCTCAGCGGGATCCCACCAGTGAAATATACTTGGAGTCAAGAGTAGATTTCATGCTCTTTATTCAGCTCATAGTGGTGAGGAGGAATGGAGTTTCCCCCATGATGTCTGCTTTATATACATTATTTACATAATGGGCCCCACGTGATTGGCTAATTCCGGGATTCTCCCGGCCCGGCCCACGGAGGATCTCCGCAGGAGTGATCCAGCCCATGCCCAGTAAGCCTTGCTGACCCCTGGTCTATGGTAATCACTAACAAACTTAATTTGAAAATGAGAAGTTATGCTTGTCCAAGGTAGTGCTATTTAGGCTGCAATCGGATACCCACTTACTTGTGAGTAAGTCCCACTGAGCTCGATGGGGCTTACTTCTAGGTAGACATGTGAAGTTTGGCAGTAGTAGAAATTGCATTAGCAAAATTTAGATAAAGATGAATTTCCAAAGATGCCTCTGTTCCAGTTCTCAAATAGTTCCAGAAAGTGATAGTTGGATAGTTTTGCCTTGAAACATGAACTCTCAACAGTAAGTCCTGTTTCTGGCGAGACTCCAGCGGCAGAGGGTTCTGGACACACTTTCCTTGACATGAGGGCGTTTGTGGGTCAGCCCTGAATGCAGGTGGGAGGGCAGACAACGCCCACTCCATGAAGGTTTCTGGCAATCCGAATGCTTTCTGTCTCTCTTAGCTGCTGGTTTGGAATCTCTGGTGCAAGAGGCTGTTCCTCTTCATGTGCCATTTTCCAGAAGTTTCCCCCAAGCAGGACTGCTCCCCATCACCATCCCAGGGGCAAAATTAGTCTTCAAAAGCAGCCTATTAGCCCAAAGGGAAGGAACTGGAGCAACAAAATAGCCAATGAACTATCACGGTCGTAATGTTTGAACACTTAGGATAAAATGTGAGGGGATTTCTTGAATTAATGTGATTTGTGAGCAAACTTTGCAAGAAGGGAAATTTTGCTCTGTTGGTGCTTCCATGAGCTTGAACACTGTTCATTTACATTTGCCAATGCGTTTTCTGTGCAGGGAGGAGTCCAAGGACAAGATGGTTCCTAGAACTGGACACATGATGATGGGTAAGGTCTGCCCCACTTGGGCTATGCTTTGATCGGCTGCTTCTTGCTCTGTGGGGTTAAGCATGTAGCCAGACTTGCCAGTGCCGTTTACTGGTACTCACACCCTTTCTGGCCTGGTGAGACCTGTGGAAGCCTGCCATCTATGGCTTCCTATAAGACAGCACATCCCAGCCGACGAGGAGAATAAACTGCTCCTCAAAGGGAGCTTTTACTTCATTATAGGAATGAGGGTTTTGAAGAACATGCAACATATTGTAGGAAAAGCATTCCAGGCCAGTGGACCACTCTGTGGAACAGGCCATCCCTAAAAAGGCCCTGTAGTTCCTTTCCTGCCTCCCTGTCTCTATAGGAGTATAAGGAGAACATGCTTGCAGGATGAATCAAGTGATCTAAGATCCTTTTCCAGCAGTGGCCAACCAAATGATTTTGGGAATTGGACCAGGATGGCATGATGACAGCAGTCCTGCCCCCCCCCCCCGAGCTGGAATTCCCTGGTACATGGACACCAAACTTGGTGGCTTTAGCCAGGATCACAATTGACCTCTGTGCATTTGTCAGCCTCAGTGTCTAGTAAATTTTAAAGCCATTTTGTGGCAGCAGATCCCATAAATTACTAATGCATTATGTAAAAAAGAAACAAATGACTTTGTTTTGTCAGCCCTTAATCTGATTCTATTTCTTTGGGAAACTCAAGAGTTCTACAGATACTTTTTTTACCTTATCAACAGACATACTTTTCATGAATCTCTATCATGTTCCCCATTAGTTATATTTCTCCCCTGATGACCCTCACCACCACCACTTAAAGGGAAGGTGCTGTGTGGCTTGGATCATATCTACTGCCATTTTTCATACCTTGTTCAGTGCTGTGCTATCTCCATCCTCCATTCCTATGAGTTCTTTCTTTGTTTTCCTGTCTTTGTAATGCAAGTGTGAAACAAATGTTGGCTCCTTCTCATGGCAGCAGGTTCAGGGGACTCTTCGTTGCCAGATGCCCAGCCATGCCAACCCTTGACCCTACTCCCGTGTAACCCCTGCCTTGGCCAGAAAGTACCTTCCGTTTTAAGTAGACTGCATGAGAGAGGAACTTGCAGGAGAATGCGCTTCTGATCTCCTGGCTTTCTAGTGCCAGTGCTCTAGGGTTTTGTCTGGTGTTGTGATGAAGTTTTGCTGTGACGCAGAGATCCCCATGGTCTGAATGCACCTCTCTCCTTGCTGCTCCCCAGCCTTTGTTGATACCACGCAGCAGAGATGCCAGATCCAGCCACAGATCTTGAGCTTCTTCAACACGGGTCCTTTGCTGCAGACGCCCAGCACTGAGGACTTGGATGTGGCTTGCTCCATGGTGCAGGTGCAGCCCAAAGTTCTGAGTGGCTTGGAGACAGCCCTTGTCGAGAGCCGCCTCCCAGGAGCCTTTGATGAGAGCACCACAGCACAGACCCAAACGCTGCGGGATTTTGAAAAGGTAAGCAGTCTGGAAGCATGGCCCCCAAACAGTCAAACCACATATTGTCCCTGAGTCTGTTGGAAATTCCCTGTACTGGGATTGAAACAGCAAGACTAAAAATCCCTCTCCCCTCCAGGTAGAAGTGCTTTTGTTTTGAAGATGTTGCATTTTTCCAGCACTGATTAATGGGACGATGGGATTCTTATGCAACAAGCAGAATCTGTTGTGATTTGAGCTATCCTGTGAAATACATCACAGTCCTTTCCCAAATGTACAATTCTTCAAATTTCTAATAGAATGTCTGCCAAGTTTGCAGAGAGGTCAGCATGGTTTGACTGCCAGGTGGGGAGAAGTATAGCAGCAGCCTAGAGGAAGCTTTAATAATTTCCGCCCCCCCACCCCATACCTTGTGGAATGAATCTTAACCTGGAAGGGTGGAACAATATTGGTGTATCTGAGTGGGAACCAAGGAAACTGCAGATTTTCTGGCTCTTCAGGCCTCACTACTGCTCACCTGACAGTTTATATTAGTTGCTGAGCCACTGAAATACTGGCAAGGTTTGCAGCCCTGGTCACAGGCCTTGTTTGGAGGTCCACCTGAGCCTTGGAAATTTTAGGGCTCACTAGGCCCATGAAGGGAAGGGAGCGGAGAGTTCTTTCCTTTCCTCAGATGCAGGATTATGTGATGGAACCAGATCTCCAGTGGCATTTGAGGGGGTTCTCCTCTCCTTCCCCACCGTGCTGTGCCTTGATCATGTTACTCATCCCACACCTGGCCCAGGCGCAATCTCTCTGTCTCCCTCTGCAGCGAGTGGGGCTGCCCTAGTCGCCCTGTTTCCCTCGGAGCTGCTAATCTCCTGCAGTTGGCGAGGGACTGTTGCAGATCCCTCCACAGCCTGTCTCAGATTACACCACTTGTGAAGGGGTTCATGCAGGATGAGCGCCTGCCAAGGATTCCTCAAATACCTCCTGGAGGTAAAAAAAGAAATGGAACTGCACTCTGCCCCAGAGTTGAGCAGCAGCCCCAGAGCTGAAGGGCAGCTGACGCCCAGAGCTTTGAGCTCATCCCAATGTCTCCCTAGGCATCCCAGGCCTTGTGGCTGTAGCCCATTTCTCTGGGCTTCCCCTCTTTTCTCGGCTTCACAATGTTACTGCAGTAAAAGGGGTGAGAGGAGATTTCCACCCCATGGATCGCCCACCATGTCTAATGGCTACCGTACTCTGTCTCAGCACCTCAATGACTTGAAGAAGGAGAACTTCAGCCTCAAGCTGCGCATCTACTTCTTGGAGGAGCGCATGCAGCAGAAGTATGAGGCCAGCGGGGAGGACGTCCACAGACGGGTGAGCAAAGAGCCCTGCAGAGTCTGAGCTCGTTTGGCCCTGGAGGCAGAGCTGGGCAAGAGCTTTCTATACTACTTAACTGAAGAAAAGTCACTTCATGGAGCTAACAATGCTTCAGTGCTGGCAGTTCTGCCATGGTGTCACTTAGAAGTTGGGCTCTGGCTGGAGTCTGTCCTTCTGACAGGAGTCGTCTGGGGTTCACTGCTAGTTATCACTGCCTGGAGGAGGGTTTTGAAATATGGGGTGTGTGGGGAGCCTCGTGGAAAACACGAGAAGAGGTGAGAAATTTGCACGTACCCTCCAGAGATAGCTGTTGAACCTGCACAGTTTGTGTTTTTTCACTTTGGGAACAAACTGCAGCACTAAGTAGAATAGTCTTTTATGTTCTTCTTGGTAATTCAATCAGACAACTTTGTTAATGTGCACCAAACTTAGAATTCTGAAAACATGAGCATTGGAGAATAAAACACTGTGTGACAACAGAACAGAATGTATAGCATCGAAATATAAAAATGCAGTATCTGGGCAATTGAAACTCATCTTGTGAGGATAATTGTTGCAAGCAAATGGGTTTCTCTAAAAGATTTGTTTGTGGAAGGTGCTTGATTTTGATTTTTGGGGGTTCCTGGCTAATGGGTCAATTCCGTCTGCATGAGCGGATGCTGAAAGAAAGTTTGGACAAGGAGAGGAAAGTGTGACTTTTGGTTGTTGGTCAGAAATATCAGAGGAGGAAGGATTTGAAGGGTCTGCTGCTGCTTTGGGGGAGGGGATGCTGCCGTAGAGAGAAGCACTGCTTCTTGTCACCCATATATTTGTAAATCAGCAAGTGTTTCAAAAATTATATCTGTTTCCTTTTTTAAAAAAATTATTGCATTTTCAATTTTTGTAATCACAATATCCATACATACATCAATAAACTCAAACCTCGCTTTTACCAGAGCATCGACCTCCTCCCACCCCTCTTCTGGACTTCCATATATATTTACTTTAATCTTAGCATTTCTATAACCACTTTTTTACCTTCTCTAATTTTTATATTTCCCCTTGTTAAATGTAAATCAGTTCCTTATATTGTCATTACAAAACATTTCATCTCAAAGCTACAAACGTTTTCAGATGTTTACAATATTCTTTCATATATAATATAATATAAATTTGCTCCAATCCTTTTGAAACAGTTTGTCGTGCTGATTCCGGATCTTCCCTGTCAGCTTTGCTAACTCAACGTATTCCACCATCTTACTCCGCCCTTCTTCCAATGTTGGAATCTCCTGTGATTTCCATTTCTGAGCCAAAAGTATCCTTGCAGCCGTTGTGGCATACATAAAAGTATTCACATCTTTAAAAAAAAAAATTCATCTCCAATTAGACCTAGCAAAAATAACTCTGGTTTTTTACTGAAATTATATTTAAAGATCTTTTTTTAATTCATTGTAAATTATGTCCCAATAAGTTTTCACCTCAGTGCACGTCTACCACATGTGGAGGAAATTCCTCTCCTTCTCCTTACATTTCCAACAATTTCTATCTTGATTTCTATACATTTTTGCAAGTTTGGCTGGTGTCATGTACCATCGATACATCATCTTCAATAAGTTTTTTTTGAGTGACATACACGCTGTAAATTTAATTGTTTTGGTCCATAATTTTTCCCATTTTTCAAAATCAATATTATGTCCCAGATCCTGGGCCCATTTAATCATAACACTTTTTACCTCCTCATCCTTTGTGTGCCACTCCAGTAATAGCTTATACATTTTTGACAATATTTTCCTTTTACTACTCAGCATTTCAGTCTCTATTTTTGATATTGTGCTACCAAACCCAGTTCTTTTGCTATCTTCTCTGAATACATCCTGCAATTGGTGATACTGCAACCAATCAGTTAGTTTTTCTCTCAGTTCTTCAAATGGCTTTACCTTTAGTTTATTATCCACTTCGATTAACAGGTCTTCGTATGTTGCCCATTCACTTCCCATGTTTTTCTTTTTTACTGCAAAGGCTTCCAATGGAGAAAGCCATCACGGAGTTTTGCATTCTAACAATGTTTTGTATCTACTCCAAACCTCGTATAATGATTTCCTAATAAGTAAAGGTAAAGGGACCCCTGGCCATTAGGTCCAGTTATGGCCGACTCTGGGGTTGCAGCGCTCATCTCCCTTTATTGGCCGAGGGAGCCGGCGTACAGCTTCCGGGTCATGTGGCCAGCAGGACTAAGCCGCTTCTGGCAAACCAGAGCAGCGCACGGAAACACCGTTTACCTTCCCGCCAGAGCGGTACCTATTTATCTACTTGCACTTTGACGTGCTTTCGTACTGCTAGGTTGGCAGCAGCTGGGACCGAGCAACGGGAGCTCACCCCATCGCGGGGATTCGAACTGCCGACCTTCTGATTGGCAAGTCCTAGGCCCTGTGGTTTAACCCATAGCGCCAATAGTGTGATTTTAAAAACCTCTATGTATTTTAACCTTAGGTAAAGGTAAAGGTACCCCTTCCCGTACGGGCCAGTCTTGACAGACTCTAGGGTTGTGCGCTCATCTCACTCTAGAGGCCGGGAGCCAGCGCTGTCCGCAGATACTTCCGGGTCATGTGGCCAGCGTGACAAAGCTGCATCTGGCGAGCCAGCACCAGCGCAGCACACGGAAACGCCGTTTACCTTCCCGCCAGTAAGCGGTCCCTATTTATCTACTTGCACCCGGGGGTGCTTTCGAACTGCTAGGTTGGCAGGCGCTGGGACCGAGCAATGGGAGCGCACCCCGCCGCGGGGATTCGAACCGCCGACCATGCGATCGGCAAGTCCTAGACGCTGAGGTTTTACCCACAGCGCCACCCGCGTCCCTTATCGTACCACAAATACACGTCAAATCCCTCTAAATCCAATACATCTGTATTATCCAATGTTATCCAATCTCTCAACCAGCAAAAACAAGATGCCTCATAATAAACTTTTAGGTCCATTTCCAGTACTTTTCCCCAACCCTGTAAACTTCTCTACTGCTCAGAGAAGAGGGGAATATGCAACAATATTTTTAAACGGTGGTTTTCAAACTGTGTTTGAAGGAAGACTTGGTGGTTCTCTGAAGTTTGCCAGGGTTTTCTCAGAGTGAGTGTCAGAAATGGTGGGAAGCTTATTTGAAAAGCAGCTTGCTGACCACTATCAAGCTTCTTTTGCAATGTGCAGCTGCAGGAGAACGTGATGACTTTCTAGTGCACACGCTCCATTTGTTTGGTGTGGCGGCAAGGGCCAGGGAGCCTTGCCAGTGCTCCGGGTTAACCAAGGGTGTACCCTAGCCTACAACATACCCCCAATCTTCTGCCATGTGCTGTGATTCCTCAGCAGAAGAGTCAACAGGAAAAAATTCCTTGGAGGTGGAAAACTTTAAAAACCAGCATTTAGAGCAACTTAGTCAGGCATGTCACCAGACTCTAAGGGAGTGGTGTTTGACTTACTCACTACCCACAAAAGGGTGTTCACTCAAAGCAAGTGTACATATCGGTTTAGTTTGCCAGAAAACTTGATAGAAATGGATGTGGAAAGTTGTAATGGAATGAAGGCGGTGCATGAGAGAAGCCTGTGTGGACGTGTCAGATGTTGTGGGGGATTCGCACTCTTCAGACGGAGATGGAGCCTGGTTGGAGGCAGCTTGAAAGTGCCATATATTATTCCATCTCAGAAACTTTGCAGGCAGTAAATTGGAGAATAGGTTGGGACCCTCTGCCCACTTAAACCTAAGATTGAAACCTACGACACTTAAACCTAAGATTGCATTCACCGTGCTCTACTAGTTCTAGTCCCAACAGGGGTGCAATGAGGACCAGAGCTTGGGGCCAAAATCTGCCTGGCACCTGGCCTCTGGACCACCACAAGGAGGACAAGTCTCACCAGGGCGGAGGAGGCTGGTTTTCACAGCATCCTTTCTTTCATTTCAGTTTTTTAAGTATCTTACAGCAAGGAGGCAGTTAGCTAGGCACATACATGGTGACAGATACGCAGGGACTTTGGAAAACAAAGCCAGCTATGGAGGTCAAATTCCAATGTCAAAATGGAGCTAACATTTTGAAAATATGCTTAATGGCACTCTTTAAGAGGCCCAGGTAGCACCTGTTGTGATTCATGAAGCAGTAAATAGAAATACAAGTAGAATGTCTTATTAAGAGCAGGGCTGTAGCTAGGGGGTGGTGAGGTGGGCCCCTGCCAGGGGTGCAGGCGAGGCACCCCCCCCAAAAAAAAGACTTAAAAATATGTCCATAAATATACCTAAAAATAAAAATATCAATTATTCCCTCATAAGAAAAGGTTTTAAATAGAGGGTGAATTGAATGGGTGGGGGTTAGAGGAGAGGCGGAAAGAAGAGTTAATTTGTCAGTGACTGGGGAGGGGCGCAATCTGTGCGGTTCTGCCAGGGGCGCAAGATCACCCAGCTATGACTCTGACTAAGAGACTTACCAAGGCAAAGTGGAAGGGGAGACAGGATATTGCCTGGTTTTTTCCTATATTGACGCAGTTTGACAGGTGCCAGTTATGGTCCCTTCGTGTATGACAATTAATTCAAGTGAAATGTTGACAGCTGACTGCTGGACTTATAGTATAATTCCCCATCTTTAAGAAAAGTGGCTGGGATAGCTGCTCACATGCTGACCCAGTAAGTTTTCTTGATGTCCCCTCAACACAATGTTGTTCAGCATGGATTGAAGAGAAACAGGTTCTATCCCCATGAAAGCTGACTTTCACAAGGGACATAGCACAATTGACCCCTCTTTTGTTTTTTAATTATCTTATTTATAAAACCTGCATGTCACATGTGTTGGTCTTTCATCTGCCTTTGACTCCATTGACTGACAGCATCTCTGGGGGGGAAACTATCAGTTACTTCATTTGACTGCTGCTTCTTATACAACAACTTGTCTTTCAGACTCAATATTTACATCGAGAGATGCAAAAAAAGGTTGGACCAACTGATGATGATGATCCACTTATTTCTCCAGTAATATCATGCCAGG